TGGTTTTACTCTTAGCGTATTGCCCTATAAATTCCCTATAAAACGCTCATGAATTGCATGGCAAAAATGACCAAAGCTTTATTCCAACTCCTGATTTACCACACAGTCTCCTGGCTGAGTAGACAAAATTATGCCTCGATTCCTTACTTCATAATAAGCGACCTCACACACTGGTCAAAAGCAGCGACTATAGAATACAAATTTTAATTCCGTGGTCCCTGATATAAATCCTAAGTGTAGTGCTTGGCTCATATGTTGCAACAAATTTTAGAAGGAGATTTCACTGATTTTGTTAGCTATTGGCACTTTAAATGCTAAAATAGAACGGCCCTATCCTCCATACGTCATTGGCATTGACGTGTTTTGTAAATAATTTTCATATACGGTTCTTTATGTGTTATGTGGTTCCTTGATGTGTTATTGCTGTAATACCTTAAATTTCACACAGCCACAACTGATTTGGTTACCATTTTTGTTTTAGTGGTGTTTCCAGACCAAATATTTAACACATAAAAAGGCTTAAGTTACCTGATATCAAATGTGGTCCAAAACATAGACCACAAGGCGACATAAGGTACTTTAACCTTTTTTATATGATTTGGTTATTGGAGCTTTAAGGGCTAAAATACAATAGCCTATAAATAAATAGTATTATTTGTATTAGTTGTAATATTAATAATCAAGTATTAAACAGAAACTAAACTTCACACTACATAAATCAACCAAAAGTACCAGTCGTAAGGCTGAACATTCCGCTATTCCTAAATTGCAATACAAATCTTAAAATTAACTCTAACTTACTTAATTTATTTTATATTTTAATATATTATTCTGAAATACTGCACAAATTTTGTGAATTTAGAAATTTCATATTTAACAAGTACTTACCAAGCGCATTTTGCTGAATTCTACTGGCCTGCGGTTCGATTGCGAAACGCTTCAACAGTTATGAGAACAGAACAATAATTACGACAAAAGTAATTATAATCCACAGCCATTCCACAATACCTGCTTATTGTGTTATCAATTCGAATGCCAGCGTACAATACCACTCTAGCTTTCATTAGCCTTAAAATAATGCAATAGATTTTGCTATATATTTTAAAAATTCGATGCTTGTTCTTTATTTTTTGTTTGGTAACTTCATTTACCTTTAAATGTACATTTGTATAACTATGTCTAAGGTATCAAACAGGGTACTTTAATTAATTAAAACAATTATGTTCATAATTCGTTTACATTTTGTTTAAGGAGAGGCGGTAAAAATGCGTTAATCACACACGTTGCCAGCCTGTAGTGTGAGAATCTTGGATTAATCAAACTACTCACTACATTTTAACCCCCACTACTCTGTTGAACCTGAGAGGGTTCATCTCATTACTTAATACCCCCGCCGCAGCAAACCTACAGACTAAGCAAATGTCAACTTGTCTGATAACATTTTTACTAAAATATTTCCATAAATGAGACATATTTATTCTCAATTTAAATAACATTAGAATTAACGAGTGCTTAGGTTTGCTGATACGGGGAAGCTAGAAGTGTTTTTTGGCCATACGTCAATATAGTATAGATATAGATAGGATGGAAAAAATTTCATATACGGTACATAAATAATGCATAATAATAATAAATAATAATACGTGTAAATAAATTTGATCAACATATATCCTTAAACAAGTAAACTACAACAATTTCCATTATATTACACCCATAAAATCCACCATAAACCCCTGTTCCCCATGGTTCGATTATGCTGGTTCGCAAACTCGTTCAAATAATTGTAGGTTTACACGTTAGTACCAAATTTCATCAAAATCGGACCATTTTTGCTCGAGTTATCGCGGATGGTGTTTTTTTGCCTCTGGGGACCTCAAAACGAAAAAGTAAATTGGCCCCGGGTCTAGGTCTTGCCATGAGACCTACGGTAATAGCTTATTCCCTATATGGGAAATTCGCTAAAAAGTCTGGTCAACATCTGAACCTGGCCCTAAGGTTCCAATTGTTTCTGACATTCAGTTCTTTATGACGTAGACGTCATCGCATTCAAAGGCGAGCTAATTTGCACGGAGAAGTTATTAGTAGTAAATAGCGCGGAGTGGTAAATAACCTGGATCTGTGACACACAGGTCCAATTGTCCTTATATTACACTTATCATCGGGATGACTGTATCCACTGACAACAGGTACAACGAGGATGGTAGCACGGACGTTATGAACTTCAGCACCCCCTTCAATGGCACGATGATATATCCACTTTGTGGTCAGAATCACGATCTTGGTTTTGCTCAAAGTGAGCTAGAGACTGTGATTCATGCGTTGATGGTGTGCACGACTGTTCAGTTTCAGCTGGATCAATTCAAAGCTAAGGACGGCAATCAAAACCGCAAAGTCATATTTGTACCGAACGAAAACTGTTTCCTGAGGCACCTTAGACCTCAGATGGCTGTCGTATGTGTTCCAGAGGTCCGGACCGAGTATGGAACCTTGGGTGGCACCAGAAGTGGCACTCATCGTCGACGAGACTTCCGTAATCATAGAGGTGGTGGAACCGGGAGGTAATCTCTATGATGCGTATGAGGAAGGTGTTCTCCAGAGCGTTCAAACATATCGCACCAACTTGAGGGATTAAATGTATTTATCACATCGAGTGTTACGAGCAGCACAACCAATGTCATTCGTTAATGCCATTCACTTATGACCCGGAGTTTAGTATACCTTTAAGAATTTAGCCTTTTCCTATCAAGAACGAAGATCTTAGTATCTTAGGCGTTGTACTCCTTATTTCTTAGTTTTTGATTATTTCCGACCACGAAAATACAAACGATAAATTATTAATTTTTTACATATTGCACTACATAATAGATACCGTTTAATATAATTGATACCGGTGGGAAATCTTTGCCATGTATGTTAGATATATTTTACTTATCCTAAGAAATTCTTGTGACATTCCATAATTTTTTCGTGCAATTGTATTTGGAAAATGTATTTTTTTGATGAACTCTTTGAGGGAAAAATCAATAATGATGATGATAAATAGTTTTGTTATTGTTTGAAAACTATCCATAACCCACTTGCTGTTCATTATCAATATTTTTAGTAGGCTTAGTTCTGATGGCTGTCGTTCCCAGTCTATCAATTTATTGTGCTTTCAAAACATCGACAGGTGGTAATGATACCAGGCTTTCTGTTCTTACCATACAAAAATCGTTTGGATTGAGGACAAAGGAGTGAAATCACACTGTGACAAAATAACATCACGATCGTATATACGAGTGTGTGCTAATATGTTTAAATAACTTCTGATATTCCACATAGTTATCATTTACTGTAATTATATTCACAGAAGGCCTATAGAATAACACAAGGCCGTAACAACAGTATAAAATATTGGTGTTTATGTCTTTTACCCTTGGAATCACGAAATACTGATACCATTTTCCTGTCCAATTTTCTAGGTAGTTGAGTGGTTATAGTGCTTGCTTGGTAATCAAAACCAAAGACAAAAATAATTAAACGTCAGCTGTGGTAAGGTTACCATAGGTTCTGGCGCAAACCGCTGGGAGCGCCATGTAGTTACGGTGTACGCGCTACGTAACTACATGGCACTCCCAGCGTTGTGCGCCAGAACCTATGGTAGCCATGGTAACCACAGCACGCCTGACATCCTATATTTAATTCTTTTCGTCTATGTCAAAACACACCAGTTCGATGTTTAGGAAAGTTAGTAGCTGTATATAATCATTAGACTTGACTAAATCAAAGCAACAATTGAATGGTCCTGGCTAATCAGCTGGTCTAGTCAGTAACGAAGCTACTCAAAGAATTTCACCTCATTCTACACTCATCCTTTACCCATATTTGGGTTAAAATACGCACCTATGTAGCGTCTCCCCTCAACTGGTAACAATGATGATGCCAATTAAAGGCATAACTTGCAATAATATACAGGGTGTTTGTGAACTCTCTCGAAAAAAATCACAGGATTATTCCTTGGGTTAATACATAAATATGTTACATTATAAACAAGGGTCGCCGGAGCCTCGTTTTCCGTCTGTCTGTCTGTATGTGTTTTTTATAAATAACCTTATTACTCGAGTTTGAATCGAGGTACAAACTTTAAATTTGACATACTTGTGTATTTTAACGTGGTACACAAACATGCAAAATTTCATTTCATTGACTATAGCCGTTTCAAAATGGCGGCAATCTAAAATCATTGACCTAAAATTACATGAAAACCACTAGAGTTACAAAACAAACACAAGAATAACAAAATGTAGGAAATTTTATTCCAAATAATAACAATTAGAAGCCAGTAAAGAAATTATTAATTATTAAAAAAATTAATAACTCAGCTGTTTGTTGTCCGATCTTTAAGATCTATGTGTCATTTGATTTGGAATAAAATTTCCTACATTTTGTTATTCTTGTGTTTTTTTGTAAACTCTAGTGGTTTTCATGTAATTTTAGGTCAATGATTTTAGATGGCCGCCATTTTGAAATGGCTATAGTCAATGAAATTAAATTTTGCATGTTTGTGTACCATGTTAAAATACACAAGTATGTCAAATTTAAAGTTTGTACCTCGATTCAAACTCGAGTAATAAGGTTATTTATAAAAACACATACAGACAGACAGACGGAAAACGAGGCTCCGGCGACCCATGTTTATAATGTAAAATAGTTATGTATTAACCCAAGGAATAATCCTGTGAATTTTTTCGAGAGAGTTTACAAACACCCTGTATATCAAAAACCAATTACGAGTAAATGGTGAGTGTGGACGAATATGCATTTTATAATTTACCAAGACATTCTTTAGCTAAAATATCATCAATATGTCTACGATTTAAACAAAAAGGTACTGCATTTTCTCAAAATCAAACTGTCAACCTATAAAACTTAACTTTGAAGTCCAACAACGTTACATTATTATCATCTAGGTCAACCAGAAAGATTGAAAAGTACCTTGACTAATAGAAATAATATGCACGTATTTTTCACACTTTTATTTCACAAATCACATATTTTATTAGTTCGGAAGATCGTCGTCTCCTGCCCACCAGTTCTGGAGGATTCTGGAGGCAGACGAGGTTATATCGCTGGTGTATGGAGGAAGAGGATCCCCTTTTTTCTCCACGTACACGGGTAACAGCTCTATATGGTCTGGTTTCACCTCGATTTCCACGTATTTGACACCAACGTGGTTGCGCAGCAATGATGAGTACGGGATATTCTTATACTGTAAAATATGGACACATTTTGAATTGTAAGAAAGATGGAAGGGGGTTTTTCTGGTAAGAGTTGTGGGTTTGTATTTATTTATTCTCTCTATAAAATTCTAAAGATGTTGTGCCATAAATACAATTAGAACCTCTTAGTTTGTATAGTAATATTAGGATGTAATAGTAAAGTTTTACTGGTAAAACTCTGTGCTATTTTTGCTGTCAGACGTGTTTATTTAGGTTTTGGTGTGTGATGGTAAAAGAGTTATTGTGCTTAATATCTATCATATAGTTTAATACAATTGTCTGAACAAAAACTACTTATTCTCTAATTTAGTTCTGGGGCATATGTAATTTCGTGGGATTTAGAATGAAGTGATTGTAGGATTGATAAAACTTTATAAAACGTGTGTTTATTTAACATTGTATAAATCAGTCCATTGCATGTACAATCGCGCTATTTGAACCTGACTGGAAAGAATTTGTAAATTCTTTGTTTATGTTACTTTAAAAAAGGTTTAATTCCACCGATTCTTTCATTTTAGACTGGGTTTAATCATCTGATAATTAGAACTTTGTTTGAAATTTTTTCTTATTGTACTATCAATCTTATTTCACTCTATTGCAGTGGTGAAAACTTAAAAGGTGAATTTGGATCTATTAACTTGTATTCAATTACGTTAGTTATATCACGTACATTTAGATGTTAGCTACATACGGAGAGCCGGAAAACGAGACTCTGGCAACCCATGTTTATAATGTAAAATATCTTTGTATTATCCAAAGCAACAATCCTGAAAAGTTTTTCGAGAGAGTTCACAAACACTCTGTATAGTTTTAACTCATAAGTAAATGTAGCAGCTAAGTTAGTTCAAAGCTCTAACTTAATGAAAAAAAATTTGATCCTGAAAAACTTTGATAGCATTTTATAAAACTTAGCTTGACCTAGCCACCCTTCATCATTAAACTTCGAGTAAATGGACCGAAGTAAATCAAATTTTTTACTATGTAACCAAGCTACACATAGCTTACTCTATCCTACTCAAAACTTGCATTTATTTGCAGCTTAAAATATGCTATTTTCTCAAACTACTTTCAACAACCATTGAGTATGTAAGTAATTTACAAGTTTACAACCCACCTCCAGATAAGCGTGGACAAAGTCGCTAACTCTCTGCTGATGTTTGGTCCACGTCTCCTCTAAACTTTGCCTCCTCCCTTCGTCGTCCAAGACGATAGACTTGACAAAAGGGAACAAGAAAGATTTGTCAACCAAGTACGCGCCAAGAGCCGCGACTGTGCAGTGAGACATGTGTATCAGCATCAGCCTCTGAATGTGCCTCCTTTCCTTGACCAAAGTGTACGCGTAATACTCAACATTGATGTCTGCTTCCCCTCTCAGTGACGTAGGAATATCCTCAAATCTTACAGAGAACAGTTTCTTCAGCGCTCCGGAATTGTTTATTTCTCTGTGGACTATTGTACTTTGTTGGCTCACGTACTCGCTGACTTTATGCTTGTCAAAGCTTAAGCTCCTAGTGACAGGGTCCCCCAGGGATGGGCTCAAGAGAATTAAGAAAATTACTGTACCTGAAACCTGTGTTTGTTTTAGAATCACGTTTATCTTACTACAGGATTATAAATGTGAAAATGTTTACGTCATTTTTACGTCATAATCCTGTATTCCTCAACTAAAAGAAGTGATGTACCAAGTTTTAATTGTAAATGTTCAGAAATATGCGAGCTATCGTATTTTATTTTTTCTTCATAAGGTTAAAATAGGAAAGTGAGTGCTTGTTGACTATAATTAAAAATGAAAGAGAAGGAAATTTTAGGCCATTATGCAATACTTCTCAACTAGGAGAACCCATATACCAAATTGTAGTTGGATGTGTTTAAAAATAAGCTAAATATACAATTTTGTTTATTTCGCTTAATTTAATTAATTTGTGATATTTTAGATTTTGACAAAAGTAATCCCAATAAAAGGTATACATAAATCCATATTTCCTTGTTCTCCGTTAAATTCTACTGGTTTTGGTAAAGTTGCAAGCCAAAAGCTCGAATGGTTACTACATGAATAGCTGTCAAAAACGAAAAATAGTTTTTAATCTAGATTTTTTGGAAAATATTATATTTCTAAACTTGTGTTTATCAGTCATACCCAATATGTTTGCCCAAGATAGAAATTAAATCTCTTTGAAATACTATTCCATCTATTAGTGCATGTTTTATCTAAATATGTTGTCAATTTTTCAATCTAGGTCAAAATGTTCAACAGATACACTAAAAACCTAAAAAAACCTATTTTTACGTACAAGTTGAAAACGAGTGAGCTTAGGACATATGCTTATAGAACATTTTTTTCCCAGTTTTGACCCCAGGAACCATTTCCCGAAGTTTGTCAGGGTTCCCGTGAAACACCCTGTATAGTATAGGCTATGCTGTACATTTTCAAGTAAATTTACCACTCATATTAGGTGGCGGGTTAAATACAGTAGGCCTTATCACGGAACACTCTGTATGAAGAGCATTGTGAATGTAATAAATTCTATATTTTTAGTAGCTCGCAAAAAGATGTTCTGTTTATTTACCAGTAACACATTAGAGAAATTCCTTGAACAATAAGGCTACTACTAAATTTTCAAATAACAATTTTTTAATCTGTATCAATGTTATATCATTGTATTCTTAATTATTATTTTTGTAACATTGTAACATATATTTACTCATGTGGCTTCAATAAACGTACCATATCGTTTTATATGTTTTCATTCATCTGCTGGTTATTTCAACTACTAAATTAATTAACTAGATTTTACTTGTTTTGATGAATTTAATTTCATAAATGAAAACCTTTGCACATACACAACAATATACAGCAAATTCCACAGGTTTTCAGTTCAATGAAATTGGCAATTTCTTATACAGTCAAGTTTAGTCTCAACATAAGTAAATGTAAAGCAAGTTTGAATTCCACCTTACTCACCATGGTAAAGCTAAAATACATCGGTCATTTGTGAATCCATTTTACACTCGGTGTGCAAAGAGTTGTGCAGAGGCGGACCAGCTGTAGTGATGTAATTGTAATTAGCCAACTTGCCTTCTGTGGTGAAATAACCAAACTTGTGGCTTTACAGCTACAAAACACACGAGATAAACACAAAATTTCATAGGACACATCCTCAAATAAGTCTTTTTTTAGCAATGTTTCACGTTAGACGATATTAATACGTTCCAAACATTGTGTGTGCTTTAATTTGTTTTTCATTATAATAATTAGAAGATATATTTCAAAAATAGCAGATTAATTGAAGTGTTAAGAATATGTTGTGGTTATTGTAATGTCGGAGTTTATTTTGTTATTTTATTTTTTTTACATTTTTTGTCAGTGAACGGTCTTCAAGTTTTTTGTTGACGTACAACGTTGATGACACATGGGTCTGTAAATGGTCTCGCTTGGAATCTAATCGAAAAAGGGATACCGAGAAAATCCGCCAGGGCGAGCACTATAACCAACCAGATGGTATATTCAACAACTTTTTACAATTCTTATATTTATAAGACCTAACGGTAAACTGGGACTGTTGGAAACTCAATGAACGTTTTCCAAATCCATCAACCATATGTGCAAGGAATGTTCTTACAATAATTTTTGAAACACAACTGTTGTACAACTTTAAAGTAAATCCCACAGAAAACCTGCATACTGCACAACTCACGTTGGTCCTAAATTCTTTGGGCAGTCTTAACACAATGCTTGAATGTTAAGACAGAGAACACAGATGCAATTTAAAAAACGAACTAAGAGAACAAAACAAAACATTTATTCGTTCACAAGATGTGAACAATAGATTTTATTTCTCTGACAATACGGTGTAATTATTTTAACAACCAGTTTCTCGCAAACGGAATCCAGTGTTTTATGTCCGCCCCATCTGGAATAGGGCTTCGTTTCTTCGTGATGTAGAACGGGAACAGGACTCCGTGTTTCTGTTTTTCGTCCACGTACAACTTGATGACCTTAGTGTTCGAGCGCCAGTTAGTTTCCTGTTTCGTCAGGTCTATATTTTTTACTCGGGCATATTCCACGATATACTCGTTCAGCTGTCTTTGATGAACCGCCATGTCTCCGTTGATAGTAAGCCTGTAAGAACGTTGGGTTTGATTAATTACGTTTTAAAAACATACAAAATCCTATGTTTCAACATGCCACTTGGAGTAGCCGCTTGTGAATACTTGGCACGAAATTGGCACAATATTAGTCAATTGCTTTTTATATGCTACACTTATGCAGATATATATATATCGTACTTTATCGAAGCATTGAAATATGAAACCTCACAAGTTAACACCAAGAATGGTGAATATAAATTACCTCACAGTTAAAAAATATATATATAACTTTTAAATACCATCGCAACAGCAATCCTGCAAACTGAGCAAATTCCCATTTTCCTGATAAGATCTCCACTGTAATAATCCCTTCATGTTAGATTTATTACCAATTTAGATAACATTAGGTTTGGTGAGTACTTAGGTTGGCTGCCACAAGGAATGTTGTAATTGTGTAAATGTTCCTATCATGTAATCCTGAGTGCTGCCTGACCGCCGCACCTGTACAAACCCTTATTGAGCACGTCGCTGTCCACATTTCCGCACCGTACATGAGTACGGACTGGACTGCAGACATGAAGATTTTTCTGCAACTGGACTGAGGACCTCCGACATTATCCGGCTAAGGAAAAAACCGTAGCAGCCTTGACCGCTTACGAAAGTTGTGGTTCCGCAAGCTAAGCTCACTGACAATGATGACACAGAAGTACGAAGTACTTGTTGGCACGAATGGTCTGGACTTCGACAACCTCCTTTCTCAGAGGGACAAAATATTGCCAGCCCACCTTTTGGTGAGAATCACGATATTGGTTTTGCTCAGAGCGGTTGGTACGTTGATGGTTCGTAATTTTGTTCAGTTTGAGCTAGGCAGTACGCTATGTGCAGCTATCGAAGCTACAAGGTCATCTGCGTTCACAGGCATTTCACATGGCAAGAGGCTGCCACAGATGACGTGATAGGTGATGTCATAGATGTTCCGAACCGATTATCTACCCTGTGACATAACAAGTGACAACATCTTCCGCGGGCCTTCCGTAGTGTCACTGTTCAGGGGGTAGCCCTCTAAGATAGCATGTATGGTGGTACAAAAGCAAGAGTAATTAACAGTGACGTTTTAAGGGTGACTTGTTATTGTGAGCTGCATTATCAAAGTTTGACTGTAGCTAGTAGAAATGTTAAACAAAAAACAACCTACCTCCAGCTACTGTTCACCCAATAGAAGGTAGCTCCAAATGCCTTCATTCCGGAAGACGAGCCGAAGAGCTGTAGGAGGATCATAGTGAGTACGTTGTAGACGACGTATCGCGTCATCCGGTTCTGGATCAGCCTCCTCTGGTTGTGCAACGCGCGGTTGTAAGCGATCAGCTGTTTGTCGGGTACGTCAGTGAGGTCGGTCGGAATGTAGATCGGTTTGAGAGGCTCTCTCGCCCTCTTGGAAAGTCCAAGTCTGTGAGCAAAATGTGATTATGGTTATACTTGATTTCAAATTCGGTACCAATCTTTATGAACTGAAAGTGGCATTAATAGGTAGTAAAAACTCGGTAGATCTAATGTAGGATTAGTAATTTTCACTTGTTAACGGGAAGAGATAATCCACTCCCAGAAACGTTTTAAACACACGACACGTTGAGTCAAATTTAGTAGTAACATTTCAGATCTAACGTTAAAAACTCTGTCGTTCCAAGACACCCGGCTAATAAATGTATATGTAACAATTATTGTGTATTCATTTATATTAAACCCCATTAAAAATTCCAATGTTCTGGCTAACTCAACAACTCCCTAACTTAACAACTCCCTAACTCAACAACTTCCTAACTTAACAACTCCCTAACTCAACAACTCCCTAACTCCACAACGTCTGGGTCCACCAATTGTCGAGTTAGTGAGATTTCACTGTAGGTTTGCACACATTCCGGGTTCGAATATTACTGACTAGTGAATATTACTACAAAGACCAAACACTCGCAATAGGTTTAACTGTGTAACCGTGATATTCACCCGCAAGAAAAAAATTGATTTCTGTCTTTATTGTTCCACTAATGGGAATATCGTTTTCAATATTCACCATACAATGAATGGCTCACAGTCCCATGATATTTTTCTAAGTTCTTTGTTATTCTTTTGTTATTCTTTGTTGTTCTAAGTTATTTTTTCTAAGTTCATTGTTTTGGTATGTAAATATCAACTCTGAGAAACGTTTGCTGACGTTTTCAATCTTGAAAGTCACCCCGATGTTGTGGGAACTTATAAATATGTTTTCAGTAAACAATGAGTAAAACTAACAAAACTAGTGTTTCTCCAACCACACCTGAAATGACTTCGTACTTTGTCGTTCTATGCATACAATGCGTAACTTAAAACTTAAATAATCACCTTTTAACCTAAAGCCTTGTTACCAATACTACAACCAAAAAACTGTGTGTGTTATTGAATAATCTTAGTCGGATTCAAGTGCTTACTTATCCATAGCAGTAATCATCATATCTGGTGGAGGCCCAAAATCCGGCATGAGATGGTCAGCGTTGACCCCCGACTCGGTCTTGGTAAGAGCGCCAGTTTTATCAGTAGAGGCAGCTGTTTTGTCAGTAGAATCAGCTGTTTTGTCAGTAGTGTCAGCTGGTTTACTGGCAGATCCATCATTAGGTCCTTCAGCTTGCACCACAGCAATTACTACCGCGACTATAAAAACTTTATGGAAGAGGTTCTGCAATAAAATACATTTTAAGTGAATTTAAACGTAACATCAACCAAAACAAAAACCTATGACACAAAAACAACTAAGATCACTGTTCAAAATCTGATATACTCAATGTTTATTCCAAAATAAGGTTATACCGTAGAGAAGTAATATAAACTGAGTTAAAAAAGCAATGAGAAGGCTGTTGCGCGGGTCCCCTAGTTTACATATATCCCGCAGTGTATTTTATGTTAATTCTCTGTTGGTATACCATCAATATGGAAGGTATTAAAGTTGTAATAACCTTTGGTTGGACATTGAAAAAATAGAAAACTCTTTTCATGGATAAAACAAGCAGTAAAGAATACACTTATGTAGTTGTTTAATTTTCCAATATACATCGCAATGCTGCGCAAAGGTAATTTATGGTTGATTGATATACAGGTTAAATTGCAGTTAAGATACTCTGTGTATTAAAAAGGTATTTATTCTGGTGTAAATTGTAGATTAGATGTGTTTTATGTATTATGAGCTTAGTTATACATATTTATCTTTAGTCTTTTAATCATTTCTAGGCAATATCTAGGTTTGTATAGAAATCGTACATAAATGGGTATGGTAATGGAAATAGTCAAGCGGTGTCAGACAAAAACCTTTTTGGGAAAAAACTTAAAGGCCAAAGTCCAAAATTGCATTGATAACACTTTAAAACGTACATAACTTTTTTTCTCCCTTAATAATTGATTATTTAGCTTAGAATTTCAAACTTAAACAGGTCGAAATAGAATTTGCACTACATAATCATAATATTCTTCATATTTTAGCATTAACCTAACTTAATATCCACCTGTTATCTTAAGACAATAATAAAAGTACTTACCAAAGCCATGATAGAGTTAGCTCCAGCGTATAGGTTTTATGGAACAGATCGTCAAAATGACGGTTAATTGGTGTTTCAAACATCTGTTATGGTAATTTAGTTGTCAAAACGAAGTGACTTATATGTTTTCATACGTCGCAACATCATATCCATACTAGCTGAAATGTGTAGCATTAAATATGGTAAAAGTATCTTGCTACTAACTTATACATAATACTAGTATATTGGTTAGGAATCACCCCAGTAAGTTACTGTACTAAGAAGTGGTCGATATTTTAAAACTATTTTTCGGGTAATGATTTAGATTATTACATCTTCACAAATAATTATAAACTGTATATAGTCGATAAATCTTGAGACTAATGATAATTATTATAATTATAATTATAATATACTGTAATATTGATTCG